GAGAGGAGAGAGCGAGTCAGTAGTTCAGATTGTGGCAGAGACTAGAGAGAGTGACTGAGTGACTGAGTTGCAGACTTGCAAGTTGCAGGGCCAAATCTCCAATTGGTATGGACTATGTATGGAGTATTGTTTGCACTGTTCCAGTTTTACCTCCTACAATAGAGAGGACAATTAAAGAGGAAAATCACTCACCACAACCTTCCAAGTTCCAATAATCTCCCCCCCTCGCTTTCACACGAGATGGAGTGAACGCAGAGTCACAGACTCACAGAGTACTAAATATAAAATGTTTACTACATATTTTCAAATTTTCAAATTTTGACCAGCTGCCCTACAGAAAGTTTAGTAAACGTCTCAAAACTCAAAACACTCCAGGCCTCCGCCCTCCACCAGGCTCCAGCAGCCCATATATTTTCAAAAATTATATATAAATAAATACAATCACAAATCCACAATTCGGTGACAATTCACAATAAGCATAGTCTCCTACAAAAAGACACGAGGCTATGCACTAATCACTACGAGTCTGTACTCCTGTGACTCCAGGTGTCCAGCTAACTCCAGCCTCCAACAAATAACAGTCCCAACTGCCCAACTCTATAAAAGTACAACAGCCAATAACCCTATTCCTCGGTTTCAGCCTTTCAGGTCCAGGAACGAGAACTTCAAATGACGCGCGATGCCGGAGCTATCTTGGGGCAATTGGATGTAAAGGAATTCAGTTAAAAACATAAAAGCGTAGCCTGATATGTAGACCACTAAAAAATATTTAGAAGCATCCTTTTGTAAAAAATGTTTAGAACTTCTTTTAAAATATTATAAAAAAACAAACAAACCTAATACATAGCATAGCTATCACTTGTCAGTAGTCACCAATCCCCCCAGCCTCAGCAGAGAGTGTGCTCAGTACTGTAGACTTCGAGTGTAGTAGAACTGTAGATACATAGAGATTAGAGTGTATTGTAGAGTGTAGAGTGTAGACTGTTTGTAGAGTGTAGAGTGTATTTAGACTGTAGACTGTAGAGTGTAGAACTGTAGACTGTAGACTGTAGTGTAGAAAAAAAATGTATATTCAGTATGTAAAGTTGTAAACTATGTATGTAAAATTAGAATCAGAGTAGAGTCACTAGAGACTGTGGTAGTGTAGTCCGCATTCATTTTATAATTTTTTATCTCTTCGTTTATTTAAAAAAGGTGTGTCGACAGTTACTCATCGTCATATAAAAATTAATCATTGGCTTATAGTTGACTATTAAAAAAGCAGGCTAGGAACAGATCATTGGTTAAAACTCAACACTCATCACCACACTTTTGGTCAGGTCTGTATTTTCAGTTTCTCACTATTCTGGGGACATTACTGGAATCTAATAACAGACTATTGTTTTGAAAAAACAAAAAAAACAAAAAACATATATTTGCCTGTTTGGGATGATGGAAATTGGAGTTTGAGCCTTAAAGTCTTTGGGGTCCCAGAGAGAGCAGAGTAGTGCATGCGACCCACCCATAAATCCTAAATCCTCAGACCACATCAGCACCTCCTTGACTCAGCCTCCTCGAGTCCTCTCACTGCTCAGTCACTCAGACTCCACTTCAGAGTCTCCACTCTCCACTCCGCATTCCTCAAACTTCAATTGCAACAATCTTTGACAAAAAAAAAGGCATAAATTGTAGTAGTGACTGGCTAGAGTTTAATAAATACTGGGTAAACAAAAAAAAAACAAAAAAAACAAAAATATGAGTTTTTTTTTGAAAATATTATTTGGGCACAGTCTCCAAATTATTGTATAATTTAAAACACACAAGACAATTGAAGGCTATAGGAGCCGAAAAAAAAAAGGCTTTAGGAGATGGGAGATTATTACTATAGAGGTTGAGGTACCTTAAAAAATCAATCTCATTGACAGATAGAAAACTTAAATTCTTCATATTGTCGAGTAATAAACGTACACTTAATCTCGTCTCGATCGGACTATTGGTTTAAAAGTTGTCAAATATTTCATTTTGTACCAGACCTGGGTCAATCTAGCCACACGTAAGCGTTGTACAAGTCCATCCATACCTAACAGACCCTTCTGGCAATATAGCGTGCCACTTTAATGGTCTATGGCGGGGTATATGTGCACGTATAGCGAGTCTGGACGTGTATTTCGGGTACCTCATATTCTATCTAGTACCTTTTATACCAGTGAGGATATGAGGTACCCAAAATACAAGCCAGGCTCGCTATACACGCACATATATCCCCCCATATACTATTAAAGTAGTATGCTATGATGCCAGAAGGTCTGTTAGGTATGGATGGATATAACGCTGACGTGTGGCTAGATTGACCCAGTCCTGGTACGAGATGGAATACTTCATAACTTTTAAACCAATAGTCCGTTCGGGATGAGATTAAGCGTACGTTTATTACTCGTCAATATGAAGGATTTGAGTTGTCTAACTACCAATGAGGTTGATTTTTAAGATACCTCTGGGTCAACCTCTATAGTAAAAATCACCCAGCTCCTAAAGCCAATTTGTTTTGTTCACCACTCCTATTTACTGATTTGTCGTATTTTAAAAAACAATTAGCCCCATACAATTATCTACATAACCTATTTGAAACAGGCTATGATTAACCTAAAATTCTAAGAAAAACAATTGAGTAAATTATAAATAGGTGAGTAGGCAGGGAGCAGGGGGCAGAGGGCAGGGGGCAGATAACAGGGGATACTAAATATAGCCTATTATACTACTACTACATAGTAGTAGAGGGCCCTAAAGCCTGAGCCCTAAGGGATGTGAGGCCTGAAGCGCAAGGCGTGTGGGGCTGTGGGCGACTGTATTTACGAGTACTATAACTGTGACGGGCGTCAGCCGTGTAGCGTGGGCTGCGTGGCATTGTTAATTTAGGGTTGAAGAGGTTTTAGTAAACCCTGGAGGCTGGAGGGTAGGGGGCGGGTTGAAACGCGAGTAAAAACTCTCACAATAGGGGTCCCAGACTCCCGGAGTCCCGGGTCACACTGCAGTGACTGCACACACGGTCCGATATTGCGACTGTCCGCGATTCTGACTGGCACTGGACAGTTTTACACACATCATGCCAACTTAAATAAAAAAAACCAAGTATTTTGTTTACAGACATTTGTTGTCCAAAATTCAGAAGGGGGCGGACAAATGACTTACAACATTGCCCTAATCCTATGTGTGGGTCTATCGGCACAGCCCTGCGGAAATGCCATTTTAATTTCCTATCATATTCGAATGACGTATACGTAAAATACGAAATGAATTTTATTTAAAAAATATAAAGTCAAAACGTTCGGATTTTACATGTCCCTACTTGCCGAAAGTCCAAAATCATTTGGGGGGGGGGGGGGCCCGCTGACGGGTCCGAACCGCCTACTTTAATAAAAAAGGTATAAATAGTGCGGTGACTGATCACTGAAAGTCTGATGAGACTCACTGAGACGGGATTACGGGAATACGGGTAACGGGACCGTGGGGAGTGACCGAGTGGGCAAGAGTGATGTCAGCCCGTCACTTGACAGTTGAGACTTAGGAGTTGAGACTTGTGAAGTTGTGTGAGAGCCCTGAGAGGTTGAGAGTTGAGAGTTGAGAGTTGAGACGTTGTGTTGAGACTTGAGATTTCTTGTGTGGAGAGTGGAGGCTGGAGAGTGACTTGAGAAGTTGAGACCGTGGGACGTGGGCCCGTGAGTACTGAGAGACTGGGCGCTGGAGACTGGGCGCTGGAGCCTGGAGCCTGGAGTCTGGAGTCTGGAGTCTGGAACTCTGGATTCTGGACTCTGGCGAGACTTTTTAACTATTTTAGAGTCGCTATAATAGTATATATCGTCCGTTGCCAAAATTCTATTTAAAAAATAATAATTTACTATGAGCTATGTATCATTGCACCTATTCCATCAATGGTTTTATTATTTAAAATTGCTCGTGGATAGTATTAATATAAATAGAGTATTTGTCTGGAGACTCTGGTCTCTGGAGAGTCTGGACTCTGGAGTCTTGGCTCTGTAAAGTCTAAACTCTAAATTTTAAAAATAACTTTTGATATTCACAAGTGGTTTGTTTTTAGTTAAAAAAAAAGCATCTCTAAATGCAAAAATAAACACACAATATTGTTCATAAACCCTAAAAAAAATACAAAAAAAATAGATTCATAGGAGGAAACGCGGGATTTGAAACAGTCGGTTTGTACTTTGTTCCTGTTCGCCCAATCGCCCTCTGCCTCAAGTCCTCTACTCTATTAAGTAAATATTTAGGCTACATAAGTACATATGTATGTGTACTACTAGAGAGACTAGAATTTTTTTTTATAACTTTAATTTAATTTTATAACTACTTTTTTTTTCTCCTTTTCTCTCTACTACTCTACTCTCTTCGCCTCTGCCTGCTGCAGTGTCTGCTGTCAGACTTCAGAAGCAGTGCAGTAGCCTTCACTCGCGTGACTCGTGTGTGTAAGACTCGAGAGTTAGTGTGGACTGCAGACACCGCCAGATAGCAGAGGCCAGATAGCAGAGGCCAGACCGCCAGAGCGCAGAGTGCACCTCTACTTCTACTAGTATTTTTTAAGAGTCCCAAACTGTCACTGGCCCAATGCTCGTGCTGACTGATGAGTCCTGAACTCCTGACCTCCAGTCCTCCAGTCGGGCTCTGCGCGTCGCAGACAAAAACACTGTTATCCCCCTCCCCCCCCCCCCCACAATTTTTTTACACAAAATTGTACCAATATGCACTTACACATTAGGTCTTTTTATTATAAAAAATACATAAAAGTAAAAAGTGTCTCTTCGACGGTATTTAACGGACTGACGAGGCGACTGGCGACACACCGACTGTTGTTGAATTTGATACTCGAAATAAATAACCAACGCGAGATATGCTATGTACAACAGCAAGAGAATATAAAAAAATAAAAAAGTAAAAAAAGTTGTAGGAGACAATACTTGTGCGAGTTATATTGCCACCTTGCAGTTATCCCACAGACGTACATATACGATCGAGACAATTTACTACTAGAGAGAACAGGGAGAAGACTTAAACCGGGTTTCATAGAGACTTCCCGCTCTTGGCTCAATCCCCTGCCTATTCTTTCGAATGAAGTAACGTATACACAAGCTTAAATTTTATAAATTGCATTATGGGGGACGATCCAAAACCAGGTGACACTGAACAGGACAGACCGCCGAGTAACCATCCTCGTCCCTCAGATACGGTATGACAAAGACTAAATATTAAGCTTGAGTTCTTCCTCATGGCAGTGTAGCTGGCGTTCAATCTGCATATGTTACACACTCACGTTATGAATTGTGGGCTAGTGGTTCAGCACTGCTTTTTGGTACCTTATGCTCATTATAACACGGGCTGTATAGAGTTAGTACCCTTTATCAGTCTTGGACTAATGGTGTCGTTTTAAAGCGTATACAATCTGTAACAAAGAAGTTTCAATATTTGTATCCCAATAGTAGTGAAGTGGCAGCGTATGCTTATCAAATATCAGACATAGCTGTATTTTGATCCTGTTTGTACTAACCCATCCGAAAATAGTTAACTGGATATGTACGATTTTAAAGCATCAAATGGCTTATAGGTCATCTTGTCTCTGACGGCCTTGCAATGTATATGCTATATTCTGTGTCACCTTATAGAGTTCTGGTATGCACGTCGTACTAAGTATGCCATTTTTAAGTATGTTATGCGTCTGCGGACCTGTACCCGATTGCGTTTGTTTGGGATGTGTACTAACAAGGTTGACTTTTATATTTGTTCTTGGCTTTGAAGGCTTTGAAATGTGTATGCTATATTTTGAATTGTCTCCTATAGTTCTGGGATACACTTTATTTTTTCATCCTTGTTATGCATGTAACCAAAGTTTGACTTTATTCTTTGTTCGCTTTGGAACAATGTTTACACTCATTCTTCCATTCGCCGCGACACGCTCTGTGTAACACGGAGTGCCACTTTGTGAACCACGCCGCGAGCACTCATCCTTTCAAATTTTGTTTGCCACTGCGTATAGACGAATGTGCGATTCCAAAGTGGCACGCCTGAAACATCTCGGGTACCTCCAAGCCACTCAAACCCGGCCAAGATCAGTAGTAACACCAAGAATAATGGGTACAACAGCAATAGACCGCAAGTCAATAGCTCTACTAGCCACAGCACCAGTAATCCGGTATACACCAGCACTTCGGCATCAAAACCAGTCAAAGCGATGAACATTACTAGCTCAAATAGTTGCACCTCGGACAGCAGTACTCTTGCTTCGAATAATATGGATGCAAAGCCACCTATCAGTACATCAGTTAGCACTAGTAATAAGGCAATTATGGGTACGACGAACTCCAGTGTCAGCGGTAGTGCAGCAGCGAAAACAAGCGACGGCCAAGGGCAGGAGAAGCGAGTATCCGAAGCTATCAGTGCCGGTCAAAGAGACGAAGGCTTAGCACGCAAAATTGTGAAGTTAGGCAGCCCAAGCAGCTCGGAGATACGATCGGACTCAAATTCGAAGCCGAATATGTCTATTGGGTCTATCAAAGTGACAAGTATTAGTGGAGATGGGAATCCTAAGGCAAATCCCATTTCCCATTTCACAAGCATCGACGGTACTGCGGGAGATGCACCTAGGTTCCCGACTTCCTCATCCTCGTCGAAGATCCCCAGCTTGACCTCAGACGGTCCAGATACCAGCAAAGCTATCAGCAATTCAACAGGCGACAACAGAGGCGATCTGCGTTCATCGTCAGCTAATAACGCTCCGGACGTTGGTCGTAAGAGCATTGGGGGCGCGCCTCGGGAGTCAGATACCAAGGGTGAGAAAGTAAAAAGGGAGGACGATGCGGGTAAGTCCAGTAGCGGTCCACATATAATAAATACTACGGGGAATTCGCGTGTAACTACCTCGAGCGTGACATCCTCAACAGCGACACCGAAGGTGAAGGATGGTGAAAGTAGGGAGGTGGTTACGAAGACATCGCTTGTTGGATCTGATAATAGTAAGCGGGCTAATGAAAGCGGGGACGCAAGTAGAAAATCAAACAGTACGGGTGGTGAAACTGGTAGGAAGGACTTCGCCAATAGAAATTCCATGGATCGAAGGGAAGGAGGAAGCGGAGACCCGACAAGGAAAGAAAATGTCGTGGGAGATTTGAGTGGTAGGGACAAAGAGAGGGAGAAGGAGCGAGACAGAGAGAAGTCCAGACCCAGGGATAAATCAAAGTACAAGGACCGTGATAGAAAGGATCGAGATCGTGACAGTCACGATAGGCGTAAAGATCGGGAGAGAGAGCGGGACGGAGGGTCTAGTAGCTCTATAAACCGAACCAGCACTGAAAGGAAAGATGCGGGTAGGAGCTCGGATGATGGCAGGGATCCTACCAGAGATAGCGTGGATAGGAGAGATAGTAGCAAGGAAGGCTACGATAAGAAGTACAAGGACTCTCGGGAGTACCGCGAGAAGAAAGAAGTACGGGAGCGGGAGAGAGCTTACAATAGCAAGAGAGACGGCGACCCGCAAAGAGACAACATCAGAGACAGAGATCGCGAAAGAGCATACGGGGACGCTGAACGCATACCCAGTCTACAAGCAAAGATTCGGAATGAGCGCGAGAAGGGAGAGAATACCAAAGACGAACCAACTAGTAGCAATAGGTTTATAGATATAGCGAAGGCAGCGTCGCGATCTAATTCCAATATAAGCAGTGGCAATAGTAATGGCAAGAGTGTGCGTGTGGGCAAGGATAAAAACACGACACGTACACATACTCCTACAACCACAGGTTCTTCTGCACTCTCCTCCAGAGTTGCACCGCAAGCCGTACCAACCGGCGCAAGGGAGGCTGAAAGCAAAAGTGAGGGCAAAGCTGGGAAGAACCCAAATGCACCTAGTATCAGCAGTGGTCCCATGAAAGGAGGAAAAAGATCACCTTCTCCAACCACTAATTTTACAGAATTCACATCAGCATATCCAACTAGTGCAGATAGTGGTGTAGTGGGGCATAGTAATGTACATTCAGGTTCTGGAACGGTGACTTCGGACAAGAACAGTAAGAACGCGAGTGGAGAAAGTGAGGATGATAATGTAGTGGCATTTCGGAAAGGCATGAGCATCATAAAGGACTGGTGTGATAAGATGAGGTTCTCCACGAAGGTGTATGACACCTGCGAAACCAATCTGGAGCTCGTTGCCGGTACACAGTAAGTGGATTGGATTTACGATCCGCGGAGTTTGTGTCTCTGTATGCGTAGTATTGAACGCTGTCCGTTGGCCTCTATAGTGATATTATGTATGTAGGATCATATTCAAATAGTTGTTGGGTCTTTCTACTAGAAGCTGCAGACACGAACACGCACACATTAGAACATAAAGTGGGAATTTTGATGTCCTTGTCCATCTTGTGTATCAGTATGTAGAGATCTTGGAAAGTAGACAATTGAGTCGATTGTGAAATGATGCAAATGCAATTTATGCATGCGCGTATGTTTGATATAACCGTGCACACTCTTTTGTATTTAACGGTTGTATACTTTCTGCTTACAGTTATCTGAAGATTGACCTAGTTGAGAATCTGGCCGCTATCATCTTCATCAGCGCACGAATGTGTGGTGTGGCGGTCAGGTACAAGGAGATCGCTCACATGTCGGGCGTGCCTGTGAAAATGCTCAATCATGCCGAAAAACTGCTCAAAAGAGAAGCGAAGCTACCCACCCCGGATCCGCCTGCAGCACTCGATACTATCAAGCGTTTCTTGAATAATGTCAAATTGCCCTCAGAAATCTTCAACGCCTGTATGGTTGTGTGCACACGAGCCTGGGAAATAGTCGCTACGCGTGGTAAATGCCCCATATCCCTTGCTACGGGGGTACTTGTGCTGATCTGCCAGTGTCCAGAAAAAGACGTTGTGAGAGTATCTAACGTGTCCATTACAACAATCAAAAATGCGGTATGTCTTTTGTTTTTATTTTCTGTTTGAACATATCTTGAGAATATCTCATTCCGTGTGTATAACGTTCATGTACGTGTCTGGTGCATTCGAAGGCGATATAGTGTCGTATTTAAACTGGCTTCAACTTCAGATTGCATAGTTGTGTCCCGTCGTGCTGTGAAACTAGATCACACTTGCATCACACACATGATATTATAGAAATTAGATAGGGGTGTGCGATTCACGTATCGAAATTTATTCCGTAAAGTCAATTTATAGCAAATGGGGTACTGATGATATTTTTCTTCGAGTGTCTTTCGAGTCACGAATATATTTCTGTCGCCTTCCTTGCCGTCAATCGATGTGTCTTTGCATGCGTGCGTATAGATATTATAGTATCATTTTTCGGCACGCTTAGTGATGAGTTGCTAGTGACTACCGATTGACTGCTTTGAACACTACTCCATACAGGTGCAGCAACTGTCTCAATATAAGGAAACGCTTTTAGAAGGGCTCGAGGTAACCAGTCGCCCAGATATCTTCAAGAACCAAGCTGAAACGTACTACGGCAAGCCCGATAATGCCAATTATCTTGAGCTAGACCAAGTACCCAGTAGAGACTATGAGGAATTAGATGATGACGGCCATGCAGCTGAATGCAAAAACCCACCGGACGATTCTGGTTCTATTGTGAAAAGGTCCGGTGTGCGGGGGCAGGGTGATGAGGGCTCCAAGCACGAACCACTAGAAAAACTAAATGCAGAGCCAATGTTGACAGAGCGGAAGTACAGATCAAGTACTACAGATACGAAGGAAAACAAAACGGTACCCGAGTTGAATGGCACGGGAGAGGACGTGCGTCAATCAAAGAGGAGCTCAAAGAGCTCAAAGAGTAAGCACGATAAGACAACGATTGTTAGTATGATAGATCGAAGTCCTAGTGAGCAGGAGGCCGCGGAAGCTCTTATATCAGGGTATGTATGAATGGTATAATGCAAACTCGTTCACGGAGGCGATAAGCTTTGATGTGCACGGCGTTACGATGGTGTCAGTATCGTTTGCACATGCGAGAGATACAGTATATTTTAACAAATACACCACGTGAGTTTCCATGCACTCCAATACTATCTAAAAACTCTCATTACATTCACACCTTTTGCAGTCTGAAGAGAAGACTGAGCCAGAGTTTCATTCCTGAGGACAACGATGATTTGACAGCGCAGAATGAATCGACACAGGCTGCTTTCGTGCTAGGTGAGTGATAGAGCTGTATGCGCAAATTGTTTGCCTTGTGTTTATGCGGATAGCATCATTTTTTTTTGCATGTATTGGATTAGATGGTCAGTTTTACTCACAAAATATATGTATCTGGAGGAGTTCATATTCTAGCAGCTAATCCATGTTAGAAATGCTTGCAATTGAAAGATATGTGTGCGATGGAGGAAGCACTGTCGCTTTTGAGGCGAGTAAGGCAATGAATGCTTTCATTTGAGGGGCCAGAGTAAAACCAATCCCGGTACAAACTGGGAGCAATATTTAGTTGATTCGAATATCCACTCTATTCGGGTCCCTCGATGTAAATTCATAGTCGTCCACTGTTGCCGCTATAGATTTTGCTCGTATTTTACCACTGCGAGATCAATTTCTTCTGTATGTTACAAACTCTGCTCAAGTATTATAGTTATCCGCTCGCGCAGTTATACGTACTTTTTCGACGAGCCAATTGGCTGAAAGGAGTTTTGCGTGCCACATCTATACGTTCAAGGAGTACTAAATTTTGGTTTCAGACAGTACTTACGTCCCTTATTGTCGATCTTGTTTGTTATTCATAGTACTGTCGCGCTGAAAAATTAGTGGACACGAATCATGTAGGCATATTGTATCACGCTCGTACGCGGAATTTAGTCCCAGGGCTATATGTGCCATAAGTGCTGGCATAAGTATGTCACAACTATATGCCACTACCGCATGCAAGCGCCGTTATCTATTTACCATACTTCGCCCACACACTCGCACTCACACGCACACGTCGGCACATGTCACAGTTGCACTTTCAGGCCCTCGCTACCGGAAAGTACAGGACACTCACACACTGCAATGGAGTCTACCGGCGAGTATTCTTGATAAGTCGAGGCCAGTGCCTTTGCTTGAACGGCTGCCACAGTCACAGTTTGCTCAGATGCTACAGAGTCGCATACGCGGCCAACCGAATGGCAAGCCTTCGCGAGAACGAGGACCACGCATTGGGGACTACGGTCGGAATGTAAGTGGATTGAGACGG